AACATTAAGATTATTAGTGTTCCTTGTATTATAGTCGTGGATCTGTGACCTCTTCTGGAACATGTTTACTAGATAATGATTAACGGCTACGAATTTTTCCCGTCAGTACGGGATGGCGTAAGCATACGAGGTTGGACCCTACATAAAATTCCAAAGGCAAAGGCGTTTTCATGAAATTCCGAATTCTTACATAAAATTCTGAAGGCCTTGCATTAAATTCCGAAGGCCATTACATAAAATTCCGAAGGCCTTTTCGTGATCGAAATTCTGAATTCTTATATAAAATTCCGAAAGCTCTTACATAGAATTCAGCCGGAGCCTAAAGAAGTCAAAAGCCGATTTTTATATTTTTGGAGTGAAACTGATTATAATAATAATCATATTCATGTTTTGCCGACTGGGAAGACAATTGGCCGTCTAGGATACAATAATAGACAGTTTTAGCAGCGACTACGAGTACGCACGCTGTACCCACAATCAGGAGCAAAAATTATTGAGACAACCGCATAAATGCCCTCCTCACCCCCAATTCAATGTTGTGTGAATGACCGAAAAGAAAAAATTCAACCCACTTTTTCCAACATTGATCATGGGGGCAGGGGGGAGGCCGACGTACTTTAAAATGGCCAAAAATGCGAAAAGTCTCATTATTTTTGCACGCGATTGCAGGCTATTTTACCTCGTCGCCGACGTCAGTACCGTGGAGGTAAAATGCTCTGGGTACGAGGTTGGTAAGGGTCTTCAAAATTTTGTGTAAGCTACAGCGCCAAATTTTATTTAAGGACCTTCGGAATTTCATGAAAAGGCCTTCAGAATTTTATGTAAATTAAGGCCTTTGGAATTTTATGTAAGAGCCTTCGGAATTTCATGAAAAGGCCTTTGCCTTGGAATTTTATGTAAGAGCTTCAGAATTTTGTGCAGGGGCCTTCAGAATTTTATGTAAGGGCTTTCAGAATTTTATGTAGGAGGTGCCGCTTTCTCGGTATTTGAGCAACTGATCATGAAGTCATAATACAATACTTTTACATGTGACATTTAATATACCTTGACCTTAATTAAAGATGATTTCCACTCCGGTCTGCGCATCAGTTCTGCTCATAACAAGGGGGACCCCCAGATATAAACATTGCTCAAATTTTGCATCTTTCGAACTTTTTTGAATTAAAACGTAGAGTTTATATTCAGTTTACAAGCATAGCGAACCAGAAAAGTGTTAGATATTCAGTTAGTATATCATATTTTACATATATAGCAGTTTAAAACGTAAACAAAGTTCGCGCATGTACATAGGAGTGGACATCATCTTTAAAGCCTGGTTCACACGATGAAATAAGCATAAGCATAAGCATAAAGCATAAGCAAGCGAACCTTTGATGTGCATAAGCATAAACATAAGAAGAACAAATGTTGCGTTCTTCTTATGCTTACGTTTATGCACACCAAAGGTTCCGCTGCTTGTGCTTATGCTTATTTCATCGTGTGAACCAGGCTTAAGCTTCCTTAGCGTACCTTACCATACTTTAGGCTACCTTAGGCTATCTTAAACTACCTAATTAGACAATCTTAGCCTACATTAGACTACCTTAAACAACCTCAGCCTGCCTTAGACTACATTAGCCAACCTTATAGACTACCTAACTAGACAACCTTATATAATAGACTACCTTCGCCTACCTTAGACTACCTTAACCTACCTTAGGGTACCATAGACTACCTTAGCCCCTTTACATAAAATTCTGAAGGCCCTTACATAGAATGTCGAAAGCCCATTCATTCCCAATTCTTACATAAAATTCCGAAGGCTTTAAATAGAAATCAGAAACCCCGCGTACATAAAAAGCCAAAGGCTTATTTATACATTTACAGCATGTCCCGATTGTCCCCTGTGGTCCACCGTAGATTAAAAACTAATAAATGCAGCTAAAATTTGGGGAGATTTACAGAAATCTTAAGGAAAAACTAAACGAGTAACGGTACGTCAAAATATAATGTAATATATATTTTGACACTCCCAGTCGCCAATAAGTTTGGGAATAGAAATATTAATAATGAAATTATGAAAAGCAGTTTTCAATATGCAGATGTGGAGATGTGAATCGACACAATTTCACTTAGCTACACCCTCCATAATCATCGAGGGCCGGCAACGCAGGTCCTATTCTTCGCGTAGACTAACGGCTTATTGACCGAGCGTGAGGTCTGTACTGTGAAATATCAGACCAAGGTTTTTTAGTATGGACCGAGCGACGAAGGAGCGAGGTCCATGCAAAAAACAAAAACAATCAAATTTGGTTGTTTGAAATTTTTATCTGTAAAGCACAATTGGAAATTTAAAAAGCAAAAATTTTTTCTGTTTGCAAAGCCAAAATTTCCCGCCAGATAAACGACATCCGGAACACCGGTCCAGATACGGAAAATACGAACCACGGTCCGAATATGGGTTTTTACGGACCGCTTGCCAACCAATCAGAATAGAGAATTTTGAAAAGCCATATAATAATAACAGTTATTTAGTTTTTATTATTTAATGATATGTTATTGAATCAATACAAACATACTCGCACCAGGACTTTGGCTGCGCCACATCTTAAAATGGGTACCCTTTTTCTTTCGTCGACTTTTTTGGATGTCGCCATTAGTGGGTGTCACAAACACGGACAAGACAAAGGGTGATCGCTAGATAGTATACTTCAAAATAAGGTTTCCGTTTTTATAACGTAGAAAAAACTATCCTAACGCAAAACTAAACCCTAACCCTAATACAACCTAAACCCTAACCTAACCCTAATTTATTTTAATTATTTTAAAAATTGATATAAAAACGGAAACCTTATTTTGAAGTATACTATCTAGCAATTGCCCAAGACAAAGATACCCAAACATAAAACGTCTCAAATTACCATTCAAGATGGCCACCATTCCAGGAGCGAGCGATGCATGTGTATTCGAAACGTGCAGCACGTATTTGGCTTACGCAGCACGTATTTGGCTCAAGAAAATTAAACCTCTAATTTTCATTGAGTATTCTCGACATGAAGTTCAAACGAACCGTGTGAGACTCTCAAACTCGAAGACTCGCAACTGGCAAAATAGCCGACCCCGTACTCGAAGACCACTGAAATGATTACGTTCTTGCTTGTTAAAATATAAAATAAAACAAATTCCGAAAAAAACCCTTGAAAATCCAGGATATGGCTTAAAATAGCATCAAGAAAATGATACGACTAAAATTTGCTTGATTTTAAGATGAATCCATATTTTGGATTTTCAAGATGTTGTTTCGGAGTTTGTTTTAATTTTATATTTTTTCTAATTGTCGACTGGAAATAGATTTTGCTTCTGTTGATTGTTGTACTATGTCTTTTGTTGATTGTTGTACCACTTCTGTTGTACTATCTATCGAGATCTATGATAAAATTCATAGGCAAAGTGCGAGCTAGTTCAAAATCTGGCAAGCGTATCACCTACAGGCTCCTCTCCCACCATCCTTTCATAAAGATCAACCAGAATGATGGCTCCATTGAAATCAACTATAAAGACTCTCCAAAGTATTCTCCCAAACGCAGTCAAATAACGACATTTCGAGTTGCCGCAAGTACACCACGTCAAAATAATCGTCGTTGTAGATTACTTTCCTGCAGACAATGTAGGTCTAACACTTGGGTGCGTATTATAGCCCTGCGTCTTTATTATGGAGATAAAATCATACAGTCACTACAAGGGAATTTTTCTTCATTGGTGAAAACAAATCATTTATCACGAGTTATTTCACCCGAAAGTCTTTATCGCGTTGTACGTTGGATATCTCCAAAAGTCAATGTACTTTCTACCAAGATTTCTTCAGCTCAAGCTCGACTAGACAAAGCATGTACCAAACTTTCTTGGACCATCAGATCTCACTTTAAAAGTAAGTGCTTGTTTGTCACAAAACCTCGGTATTACGGCTGGGGGGGCGAGCTTGTTTTGCCCGACCAAAAGGGCGTGGCCGAAGTCGTGCCCGACGCACGACGGAACTGAAAGTTGAGCTGTAAGAGAAAGTACTTCATATTGTGCAGTTATAGTTAACCCGTTTCCAGTCGCGTTTTGAAGTTTTCATGCTAACCCAGAGATGCTTACCTTTAACCATTCACGAACATAACGAATAGAATAAAGCAGGCCCTGAATAAAGGTATAGCAGGCATATTTTTCGTAAGTTATTTTTCTCTCAATCTATCTGCCACATTAAATATAAATAAGCCTTTTTCAAAATTTGCTCGACGAAATTGTATGGATATACTCGACGAGATTAATTTAATAGAAACTGGGGGTCACCCATCCCACCCCGATAGTTTTGCTCCTGATATCTACAGGGTGTATTAAAAAAGTAAACAATTTTGAAACGGCTCGCGCAATTTCACAAATCCATTTCACAAATCCATTTCATGAAATATTTCATAATATAGATTGTTTGCGTACTTATAATGTAGAATAAACAAAAAAATTTCGGAAAGATAAATTTTCCAGAGCAGGGGGGGGGGTTGTTCTTTTTTAGCAGCATTAAAAATAGCTTGCGCGCGAAATTTACCAACTTGTAAATTGTTATTTTACTTTTATTGCAATAACAATATGCAAATTAGGTAAATGCATGCGTAAGGGGCGGACCATTAGAAATCCCGGGAGGGGGAGTGAAAATTCCCAAAAAAAATTCGTGCAAAGGAAAATGCCTGGAAAAAAAATTCGTGCGGCCATTACGTCAGAGAAAAAAAATTCGTGCAAGCAAACAGCGAAGTACAAATAGTCTTGAAAAAAAATTCGTGCAGAGGTTAAATGCATTAAAAAAATTCCTGCAGAGACACGAGACTGAAAAAAAAATTCGTGCCGCAAACATTTTATACCCCCCCTCCCGGGATTTCTAATGGTCCGCCCCTAATAGGCATTGGTGCCAAAAATGAAAGTTTCAGCAGCTTTTTAAAGGACTTAGAATCAGTGGCGGCGGAACAGGGGGGGGGCTAGGGGGGTTAAAGCCCCCCCCCCTCAGAAGTAAAAGTGGGGGGGCTTAGCCCCCCCCAGAAAATTTTGTTTTCTCTGGAAACATTTTGTTAATTAAGGAAAAATGTAGGTTATTTTTGGAAAATTTAGGTATAAGGGGAAAAATTTGGGATATTTTGTGTAAAAATCGAGTATGTCCGGAAAAATTTTTTGTTATAGGTCCGGAAAAATTTTTTTCATCCCTTTTCTTGTATATGTCCGGAAAAATTTTTCTACCCCTAAAATGGTACACTGACCGAAATTTTTTTGGCGACGGGGGGGGGAGGTCACGGAAAAAAAATTTAGCTCCCCCAAACTGAAATCCGTTCCGCCGCCCCTGCTTAGAATTACGTAAATTTTCTGATATTTGGACCATTGATAAAACACATAACAAATTTCTCGTCCATGTACTCAAAATGTGCTTTAAACTTTTAAATTTCGCGCGCAAGTTATTTTTAATGCTGCTAAAAAAGACACCTCCCCTGAAAAATTTGTCTTTATGAAAATGGCTTGTTTATACTACATTATAAGTACCCAACCAATCTAGATGAAATGAGCGGATTTGTGAAATTGAGAGCCGTTTCAAAATTGTCTAGTTTTTTTTATACACCCTGTAGTGATAATGTACAGCGTTATTGCATTTTCTGTATTCTGTATGCAAGCATGAGTTTTGAATGGAAATCAAAAGCTGCGAAATTCAAAGTTATTAGCCATGCCGGATATTTTATGCAGCTGCGCCAATGTAAATGTATTCTTTTTGGTGAAGAATATTTGATGTTAATTGCTTAGAAGGACATCTTTATTTCAATTTCGACACATCCATCTCTACGATTTGAAACTAAAATCATGCAATGATAAATTGCTTTTTACATTTTAGCACGTTTCCCGTCAGTGATAGTTAGTGCGTCTATGAAAGATTTATTCTCTCCAACGACTGTTCGAAAGTTACTCTATTTATCCAATTGTCCACAGCGAGAAATCGACCACTCATTCTGCAGAATGCGTGCAAAATATCGTTCTATCGATGGAACATGTAATAACAGAAAAAGTCCTCTCTATGGTTCGTCTTCAAGTGCCTTCGCTCGAGTTCTTCCCGCTAAATATTACGACTCTGATGGTATGAAAGATCCCTTGGGATTCCCTGATTTACCGAATGCTCCTGATGTCCCCCACCCTCTTGAGATTACAAAGCTGTTTGTGATTGCTCAGAAACAACCATTACCAGGAAGAGGAATTCATTCGCATTTTCTCATGCAGTGGGGGCAATTTTTGGATCATGACTTTACTCTCGCACCCGAAAGTGAAGATGCTGATAAATGCCGTCGTGAAAGGTAAATAAATATGTAAAAAAGGACTATACAGGGTGTATAAAAAAACTGAACAGATTTGAAATTGCTCTTAATTTCGCAAAACAGCTCGTGGTATCACGTTTTGGTTATATATAGATTCCTTAAGTACCCATAATGTAGAACAATGAAAAAAAGCACTCGATCTCAAATTGTGTAAACCAAGGATGTTTCTTTTCCAACAAATTAAAAATGGCTTGCGCACGAAATTTAAAAGCTTTGATCGTATTTTGAGTTAATGGGTGAAAAATTTGTTGGGTTTTTAATACAAAATTTCAGACAATTTGCTCAACTATTCATATTGCTGACATATGCAAATTAGGCAAATGCATTAATTAAGCATGCAAAAGGCTGATTTTTTAGGAAAAATGTAAGTTTTCGTGAATAGTTAAAGGCTTAAACTGAAGAAAATTGTCTGAAATTTCGTGCAGCGATTAAACACCCAACACATTTTTCAAACATTTTTTAAAACGGGTTCGCAAGCCATTTTTAATTTGTTGGAAAAGACACACCCCCCTGGTTTACATTATTCTACATTATAAGTACCCAAAGAAACTATATTTATCAAAAACTGGATACTATAATAGCTGTTTTGCGAAATTGAGAGCAATTTCAAATCTGTTCAGTTGTATTATATACCTGTGTTTATATTTATACAGCTGTTGCTTTTGTTTGAGCACTTTGAAGAGTTATAGGGGTTCACAGCTGTGTAGTAGTCGATTGAATAAAATAATTTTGCCACCCAAAATGGCGGACTATTTTTGACGATGCGTCATACTGCAAGATCTGAATATTCTATGAAAGTTTGGAATACATTTTAAATTTAGAGAAAAATAAACATCCTCAAAAGTACATTTTTAATGTTTCTTCAAACAGTTAAATGTTGCACAATAGCATGCACTTGATACATTTCGTTATGTTATCACAAATTCGTTACGTTATAATATCACAAGACTCAAGAGCCAGTAGTTGATTATGCAGTAACTTTAATTTTGGATAGTTGTTGCTGTTCTATTTCTTCTACGAATTTTATGATTTAATTTCTTTTGGCAGCAAAAAATGAAAATTTCTCCTATGTCTTTGTTTACTTATATTTTCTGCTTTTATTCAAACATCTATAGTTGTCATCAAATATCAAAAGCAACTGAACCGCCTTGTTTCACAATCTTGCCTCACAAATCATCCAAGTGCATACACTTCACAAGGACAGCCTCAGTATGTGATCCATATCAAATGAGGTTAGGAACAAGAGAGCAAATGAACGCAAACACAGGTTTCATTGATGGATCACAAATCTATGGATCAACTTTGGAGTTAGCAAAAAATCTAAGAGATCTTTCACGTAAGTGTTTGATTCAAAATTTAATCAATACTGATGAATTAAATAATTGGAAAAATGCTATAAAGGCTGTTTAATGTCATTTTGCATAAAACTTTTCGGATTTTCGTCTGAAAGGAGTTTGAGGCATGTTTTATACGTCGAATTTTGGTCGCGTCGAATGCAATTAAGACAATAGATAATGAGATGATTAAACCTCATTAAGCTTCATTATCTATTGTTTGAATTGCATTCGACGCGACCGAAATTCGACGTATAAAATAGGCCTGAAACACGTCGATTAACATACACATGCAGCATGCATGATGACCGCATTCATAAGAAGTCAGAGCAAACATGTAAAGCAGTGCATTAATCGATTGCTCGCAAGAACGTTGCCTATATTTATTTATTGTGTATAACTAATACAATACCCATCAGCAGTAACGAGTAACTAGGATGAAAATGATATTATCTGGGAAATAGCTAGCTACTTATGCAACACGCAATAATTTTTGCACAAAATAATTAATTAGCTATACTGCAACTTCTTCTTACAGCCAACAAAGGCCTATTAAAAGTACGTCATTTTACACATGGTGACTTAATGCCACTGGACAACTCAGAATTAATGTTTCCCAATGATCTGTGTCATCAAACTGGTGGTTGTTTCTTAGCTGGAGATACGAGATCAAGTGAACAGATGGCGCTAGCTGCTATTCATACATTATTTGTTAGAGAACATAACCGTATCGCGAAGCAATTGATTCAAATTAACCCAAATTGGACGGGCGACACTGTCTATCAGGAAACAAGAAAGATCGTTGGTGCAATTATACAAAAGATTACATACGAAGACTATCTGCCTGAATTATTAGGTGATAATCCTTTACCAAAATATACTGGATATAAATACTGGGTCAATCCTAGTATCATTAATTCAGTTGCCGCTGCTGCATATAGATTCGGACACAGCACCATTCGGCCATCATTTGATATTTTAGATGAAAACCATCGAAAAGTAGGGGCACCAATACCACTGAAACATATGTTTTTCAATAATACATACATCAACCGGCACGGTATTGATCATTTGTTGCTTGGTCTCTGCGCGTTTCAAGCAGAGAAAGTTGACCGTAGTTTTGCTAATGGGATTATGGGTCATTTGTTTGAGCGAAAACATTTACCAGGATTGAACTTGATTGCACTGAACATCCAGAGAGGAAGAGATCACGGCCTGCCGGGATACAACGATTTCAGGAGATATTGTAGACTAACTGACGCGAGGACATTTAATGATACAGCTAAGGAAATCTCGCTAGAAAACAGAAAGATCTTGGCAAAGTTATACAAGGATGATCCAACAATCGCAGATCTGTTTGTGGCAGGTATTGCGGAAACACCGTTGCCAGGCTCGCAACTTGGGCCTACTTTCTCTTGTCTGATTAAAGAGCAATTTGCTCGTCTGAGAGATGGAGATAGGTTCTTTTACATGAGAGGAAAATGTTTCACAAAATCTCAACTTAAAGAAATCAAAAAGAGTTCATTAAGTCGTATACTCTGTGATAATTTGAAGAGTGGTAAAAAGTTATGGGTACAAGAAAACGTTTTCCATGCAGTCAACAACGGTGTTCGACGTGTAGATTGTAGTAGTATTCCAAAGATTGACCTCAATCAGTGGAAAGGTAAGAAACAACCGATATTAAACTAAAAACAATCTACTTTGAGTCAACCGTACGGAACCTAGCTCTCTGGTGTAGACAACGGACACCATATCTTCGTCGCTGAGAGCAAACACATATATTATAAGTACACTATGTAATCTTTTTGCTACCGTTTGCAGTTACATATACACACCAATATGTTTCTAACTAACAGTAGATGCGACATTGCTTTCTACATTCTGTCGATCAATTTGCTCGGACTCGGATTTAGGCTTGTTTTTATGGTTACTAAACCATGTACCCTTCAAAAGCAGAGTCTTTAAAGGTGCCGTCATGGGCACACAATATATACCCTTCCGTACAGTATACGTCACTTTGGCAATAGAGCCTCGTTTCTGTGTATGTGACACTCGTTAAAGCCCAACGTCTCAATCATGAAAACGAGGCTCTATGGCGAAGGTGACTTCCGGAAGCGTGTATTGTGGTGACCTCTGATCTCACGAAACGGCGACCTAGCTTTTCAAATTAATTTCCTCTGTTAATTGAGTATCTGTATCGGTTAAAGAAGTCAATCTCTGTTTTTACTAATTTCAACAAAATTTTTTTATTATTTTTCTAGAAATTAAAATATAATGCTGGTTTAGGACGATTCTAAAAACTATATGAAGATCAGAGGATATTTTCCCACAAAAATTTTGCTTAATTAAATATTTTAATTTTTTAACTAATTCATGTTATTAATTTAGATCCTAATTCAAAATGTACGTACTTCATGCTTTGCATGTTATAGTAAACTATTAATATGTGAATTTATTTATCGGTAGTTCGAAGAAATCATTTGTTGAAGTTGTGATTCTATTCTTATCATGTATAAATGTGCAGAATTATATAGTGCAATCTGCACACCATTCTCGACGGTTTTTGACGAATTATGGTTTTGCATCTCGTCCCAGTTTCCGTGATCTCACAACAAGACTGGATTCAGCAGGATTCATTTTATTTGCTCTCTGTACTGATAAGGATTTAAATTTTTTCACTCTGAAATAGTGAAGATTTGGCGGAGTCGAGTTTATTTCATACTTGTTTTAAAGCGAGTCCGATTTTGCTCACCTGCTCAGCAGCCGGTTTCATTTGAACGAAATTTCGGGCTGCGAGCAGGCTATAGATCTTGCGCGTGTTTTTCTTCTGCGAGCGTGGGGAAAGCTGGGTGGCTAAACGTCAGAATTAATTAAAATGTTATTCCAATTTACTACATGTATAATAATTCTAATTAGTATAATTACATAGGTGATTATTGAAAATTCTCCACGCTGATTGGTTGCCGTTGAGGTGATTATTACGCGATAATCACCTAAGCGATTTTCAAAATGGCGGCCGAAGCCGTTTTGTCAATTAAATGACGAAGAAATGTCTATTTTTTATTTTTTTTTCTAAATAATCACCTATGAAATTATACTAAAACATTTATTCACCTCAGGCTCGGTGATTATCGTGAATAAAAACCTCGACTTCGTCTCAGTTTTTATCCACCGATAATCACCTCGCCTTCGGCGAATAATTGTTAATTATTAGGCCGTACGTCTGCTGGGTCCAGATATCGTTCACTTTCATTTAGCCTGTCTTGGATCTGAAATATTTTTACCGGAACTAACATTTTCGAACACACTGAGTTCAAATCCGAGAGTTCTCGCTCCATAGACCGTAGTTTTCTCACCGAACTGCTATTTTGTTTTCGCTAATTTCACTACAAATTTTTTGACCAGGAACCGGTCCCCAATCGCTGCTAATCGTTGTTGTTGTTGTTGTTGTTAGGGGGCGACGCTCTTTGAAAAAACCCTAAGGCTCCGTCATTACTTGTCTGATCGGAATGAAATTTGACACAATTATTCTAATCCGCATCGATTGACGGTGTTCGATTTTTGACTTTAGAAGCAAGATACAAGCAACTTTTGACTGTATTCAATGAAGTTAAAAAGTTTCCAAGGAAAGTGGCAAGTGCATGTTTTCCAATTAATTTAATAAGCCGATTTTTCTCATATTTTCGCGAATTTTGAAAGTGCCTTAATTGCAACATCAAATGCTTGTATCTCCGTCAATATCGTACCGATAATTTATTATTATTATTATTATTATTATAATTCATTTATATAGCGCCATTTCCCATAGCTCAATAGCGCTTAACATCAAGTGTTAAAAATATATACTAAGTGTTAGAACATAGTGCATGCATTGACTACTAAAATTACTATACTATAAAATTACTAAAAAATAATTATATGCTCTTCTCGTTAAGAATATAAAATTACTTTATGTTATGTATGTTGATAATATTAAAACAACAACTATATAGAATACTATAAAATTGCTAATAATCTTGTTAAAATAATAACTTAGTCATAATACTGTTTAAAAAGATGTGTCTTTAATCTGGTTTTAAAAATAAGCAAGGTCTCACTCTTTCTAATATACTCTGGCAGTTCGTTCCACAGTTTCGGTGCAGCATATGAGAACGATCGTTCACCATAGTTCACTAGTTTTACTGAAGGTATGGTAAGCAATCCTTTGGATGAGGAGCGTAAATTTGCTGATGGTGTGTAAGGTTTTAGCATATTATTAATGTAATGTGGAGCTGAGCCATTCAGAGATTTATACGTGATAAGAACAATTTTATAGATGATGCGTTGACTGATGGGGAGCCAATGTAATTGTTTCATTAATGGAGTAACATGGTCTATTTTCTGCTTCCTGTCACCAGACGAGCAGCACAGTTTTGCACATTCTGTAATCGATCTATAAGAAATTTAGGTAGTCCGTATAGCAAAGAGTTGCAATTATCTAGTTTCGATGTAATAAAGGCATGAACTAGGGTTTGGATATCTGATTTTGATAAGTACTCTTTTATTCTTGCTATTTTTCTCAAATGGAAAAACAGTTCTTGCAAATGTTGGTAATATGTTTATCCATGGACATGTGTTGATCGAAGGTTACACCGATGTTTCGTGCTGAAGTACTTGGTTGAACTATTGACTTAGATATTTCTATATGGTGTACAGCAGGGCATAAACGATTTGTGCATTGATTACTAGTAGCTCAGTCTTGTCCCCATTCAATTTTAATTTATTTTTGACCATCCACAAATCAATCTCCTTTACACACATTTCGATTTGTACCAGTGCTCCCGCTTTTCCTTCAGTGGTTGACTCAAAAGCGAGATATAATTGCGAGTCATCTGCATAAAAGTGAAAATCAAGATCATGACCTCTGATGATATCACCAAGGGGTGAAGTGTATAATAAATATAGTATAGGGCCGAGAACTGATCCTTGTGGGACTCCACAGCGTAAGTCTTTAGAGATAGATTTAACACCGTCAATCACTACTCTTTGCGTTCTATTCTGAAGATAGGACTGAAACCATCTCAACACTTGCCCATCTATCCCAAATCTTTTGAACATTCGTTGTAATAAAAGTTCGTGATCAACAGTATCGAATGCTGCTGACATATCTAGTAATAGCAACACCACACACTTACGATTATCAATGGCTACAAGAATATCGTTTATGGTTGTTTCTGCACTATGAAAACGTTTATATGCCGACTGGAAGGGTTCTTCTAATTTGTTATTAGCCAAGTGTTCCAGAAGCTGACCGGCAGCAACCTTCTCAATTACTTTAGACAGGAATTTTAAATTTGAAATAGGTCGGAAATTTGTGTATTCTTCGTAATCCAGCGAATCTTTCTTTAGTTTTGGTTTCAACACGGCTTCTTTTAGTATCTCAGGCATACAACCTGACTGAAGTGACTTATTACTGATCTTAGTAATTATAGGTAAGAGAGTCTTCTGACAACCTTGAAAGATTTTTGCGGGCACTGGATCAAGTTCACAAGATTTTTTACCAACTTTATCAATAACATTTTCAATCTCATGTTCCGTGATTTCTTGAAAGTTAATGAATTTAACGCATTGTGCATATTGTTCCTCTTGATTTCGCTGATTACAGTGGGAAGAATCGATGGCTAGTTCTTTCCATATAATAGCAATCTTATTATTGAAGAAATCTGAAAATTTATTCACAAGTTCAGTCGTTGATGACGCAGTTGGATAGCGCTTTTCTGGCTTTCGATGGAGTAATTTATCAACCGTACTAAATAACACTTTCTGATTATGTGCATTACTGGAAATAACCGATGAGTAGTATGTTGTCTTAGCATTCTTTATCATGGCATTCACTGTCTCACATTGTTTGACATATAACTGTCTGTCAATATATAGTCCAGATGCGCGCCAGCGGCGCTCTAGTTTCCTGCGATTTCTTTTTTCTTGACCAATCTCCTCATTGTACCATGGTGATAAAGGACGAAGAGTTATAATTCGTCGTTTTTGTGGAGCATGCTGCTGTAATGTTTCTTTCAACGTATTTTCATATTTATCAATAAGGACTGAAAGATCATAATCGTCATTTAAATCTAGTACTTTTAGACCTTCATTGAAACTATCCATGTTTACATTGTTTAATTTTCGATAATAAATTTCAGCTTGTTCTAATGGTGGTTTCTCTAACTGTAATGTGCAATGTATGGCAAGATGATCTGATATTACTGGATCATGTATTCTGATACCAGTCACTAATTTATCTTCATTCCTTGTTATAATCAAGTCTAAGGTGTGGCCTTTCTTGTGGGTTGGCCCATTGACGTGCTGTTGTAAATTAAACGATTCCAGTATCTTGTTGAATTTAATAGTATCTGAATCTCCAATGTTGTCTATATGAAAATTAAAGTCTCCTGCCATTAATACATTGCCAGGTAATATGATCAACTGTTCCACAAATATGCAGAATTCTTCAAAAAATATTGAGCTGCTTAATTTATTAGTCTTCGATGGGGGTGGTCTATAAATGACAATCATTCTGGTGTAGGTATTACGGCAGTTCAAGGTGACATCCATATATTCAAAAGAAGAGAATTTTCTCTGAGATTGTTTTTTGACTTTAATATATTTCTTCAGTAAGAGACCAACTCCTTCACCTCGTGCATTTTTCCTTGTAATGTGATAAAAGTGATACCCCGTTGGGCAGATTTCAGCAGTAGAAAATTCATTATCATCCTCCCGTAACCATGTCTCAGTCACTGCTAGAATATCAATATCGTTCTCAGACACATAATCATTAATAAAAAGTTCTTTCCTATTTATTGATCTGGTGTTCAACAGGCAAAAGTTGATAGGCATAAAATATGTCTTCTGTTCCCTTGTACAATTGACATAAATGAAATTATTAAAATTTACAGATCGAGTTCGTTCCGTATTCTTAGTATCTCTCGAGGGACTATTTGCATCTTTTTCAGCACTCATTACATGATTTCCTAATAATAAAATTGGAACCACCCTATTTTGTCTCTTCCCCATGATTCCGTACGAAAATCCTGGTTATTTCTTCCATTATTCCCATTTCGAATTTTCGACTGTTCGTAGGGTTTTGAAATATTACTCTTGCAATAATCAGTACAAATATTTTTGCACTCATTTCGTTTTAAATTGGATTTTCTACCCACGTTTTTTACTCGTTTCCTTGTAGTAATACGGTAATAGTATTAATGTAGTAATACGGTGTAGTAATACGGTGTAGTAATAATGTTTGGCCAAGCGGTATACGATTGTTTTGGTTTGTGTAATATTATAACGGCATTTAACCCACCGTTCGAAAGGTTATTTGATGATGATTTCAACGGTGGTTTTCGTTTTAAAGGGCTGGTAAATTCTTGTAGTTGGTCATCGCGCTTAAGAATACGAATAAGTAATGATTTCGTTGTAGATTTCACAATAAAATGTTGCGCTATTTTATTTTGATCTTCCCCACTCCAAAGTTTGTTTTTGATCCAGTAGACGCCATGTACGCTACAGCGTACCTATTTTTGAAGTTGCACTTGTTGCGGCTTGAAATGCAGCCGTTGAGTTAAGACGTGAAAATCTATGATCAAGACGTGAAAATCTATGATTTGGCGTTGTAAACAGAGCGAGGACAATGTCTAAATTATTCATATATTGTAATTTTTCAATTCCGTTTTCAATGATCTATTGTATTGGTAGCCGTTGCCGTCGCGTTGCCGTCCTAAAATCGTAAGGTCTCTAAGGGGCTGTTTACACGATGAGCCTACAGGGAGGGCTGGCCCTATTAGGCGAGATCCCGCGTGCTATTTGAAATCCTTATTGAAAATTGTTTACGTTTACATGAGAAGAGGGCCAGCCCTCCTAGGTGAGATCTCACTATTATTCACCCGAGATCTCGCCTAGTAGGGCTGGAATTTTCTCATATATAAACGCAGTAGAGAGGGCTGGCCCTCCTAGTAGGGCTGAGTGAAAAAGCCGTCGAATCGATTTTAGACTAAACTCTTTGAAGCTTTTTTTGTTTTAAGGATGTAGCTCTAAACGGATATTCAAATGTCTGTTGGTTTTTATTCCAAAATTTAGTCGGCAAACTATGATTTTGGACGCCAAAATAAAAATAATGAGTCGCACGTGAACCATTTAAGTGCTACTTGCGAAAGGAAGTTATCCCTACCAATAGGCCTGATTTTTCTCATATAATAGCATAGTTGCCCGGGTTTCTTTTGTTTCAACAGGGACGTTTAATCACGTATCGCCCGCTGTAGCGGGCGATTAGTTCTAATCGCCCGCTAGAGCGGGCGATTAGAACTAATCGCCCGTTACCAAGGGTCACACCTTTGTCTCCCTGACGACTACGCATTAGGCAAGTGCCTCACGCACATAATCGTGCAAGGAACAGCAACAGTTAGCTCAGAGCCGTCAATAGTCTATCATCCGATCCCTGAGTTGCCGCATCATTTAAATTACGCACGTGCAGTCTCCAAATTTATACTAATATATTTAGCGTGTTTGTTGTGGTACGTTAAATGATAGATTGCGCATGCGTAACCGATTAAAGCGTAAAAAGTGCGCATGTGCAACAAGCTTTTACATCCCACAAGCAATGAAGCAAATGTTTTAGCTTAAATACGCTGATTCCAAGTAGGGCATGTTTGTCCATTTTTAAATGGGAGCGAAACTATGCTATTACAAACTAATAGCATGGCTTTTCGGGAGATTAGTGATTAAATGACCCCTTACCCTCGGCAGGTTTGCGGAATTTCCTCGGGCTTCGCCCTCGGGAATTCCGCAAACCTGCCTCGGGTTACGGGGCCATTTAATCACTAATCTCCCTCAAGCCATGCTATTACTTATAATAAACAAGCGGTGAAAATTAGCCCTACTGCTAGGGCCAGCCCTCCCAGAAGGGCTCATGTAAACAGCGCCTAAATAACGAGCTGAAGGAAACGGTACTGCACCAAAACACATTGGACAGACAGATAAAGCCAACTGCATGATGATGTGAGTTTTATTGTTGTGGTAAACAGCGGTTAATTAAAAATATGCAAACAGCACTTATATGGGTTTAACATCTATCCAAAATACGGCTTACAGCACACGTTTTTATACTGCGACGACTATTGTTGGAAATATAACTGACAAGCTTGCCTGCTCGAGCATGTTACAAGTGCATGTAACAGAATGTTTCTCTATGTATCTAGCCACGCTGCACGCGTCAACGGTTATATATATATACTCCACGAAGTACACATAACTTATAATCGAGACTTCCTTTACAGTTTATTTTTATTTTTATTCGATAGCATTAATTCACTTTGTTGAGTTTGGGATTCTACTTTTAAATTAATAAAAAAGCGTATTAGTTAAGGAACCATATGATGCACGAACTCAGCCTTGAAATCAACCTCGTCCCTTGAAATGCCCTTCAAATTAGGAACTGCATATCAGATGCATAATATTACAAAAATCAAATTAATTAAATACACAATTAGAACACAAATAATTTTATTCTTTGATTCGCTTAGTCTTTATACCACGCGATACCCTATCGGCATCTGCCCATGTTTCAATCGGCAATTTTCAAGATTGCAGTTTGCAGTTATAATATGATCTTGTCGAATAGTAGCGCAAATAAAGAAACTGAAAAACATTGCGGGGAATTTTGAAGTTGCACTTGTTGCGGCTTGAAATGCAGCCGTTGAGTCAAGACGTGAAAATCTATGATTTGGCGCTGTAAACAGAGCGAGGACAGTGTCTAAATTATTCATATATTGTAATTTTTCAATTCCGTTTTCAATGATCTATTGTATTGGTAGCCGTTGCCGTCGCGTTGCCGTCCTAAAATCGTAAGGTCTCTAAGGGGCTGTTTACACGATGAGCCTACAGGGAGGGCTGGCCCTATTAGGCGAGATCCCGCGTGCTATTTGAAATCCTTATTGAAAATTGTTTACGTTTACATGAGAAGAGGGCCAGCCCTCCTAGGTGAGATCTCACTATTATTCACCCGAGATCTCGCCTAGTATAGGGCTGGAATTTTCTCATATATAAACGCAGTAGAGAGGGCTGGCCCTCCTAGTAGGGCTGAGTGAAAAAGCCGTCGAATCGATTTTAGACTAAACTCTTTGAAGCTTTTTTTGTTTTAAGGATGTAGTTCTAAACGGATATTCAAATGTCTGTTGGTTTTTATTCCAAAATTTAGTCGGCAAACTATGATTTTGGACGCCAAAATAAAAATAATGAGTCTCACGGAAACCATTTAAGTGCTACTTGCGAAAGGAAGTTATCCCTACCAATAGGCCTGATTTTTCTCATATAAACAAGCGGTGAAAATTAGCCCTACTGCTAGGGCCAGCCCTCCCAGTAGGGCTCATGTAAACAGCGCCTAAATAACGAGCTGAAGGAAACGGTACTGCACCAAAACACATTGGACAGACAGATTAAGCCAACTGCATGATGATGTGAGTTTTATTGTTGTGGTAAACAGCGGTTAATTAAAAATATGCAAACAGCACTATATGGGTTTAACATCTATCCAAAATACGGCTTACAGCATACGTTTTTATACTGCGACGACTATTGTTGGAAATATAACAAGCTTGCCTGCTCGAGCATGTTACAAGTGCATGTAACAGAATCTTTCTCTATGTATCTAGCCACGCGTCAACGGTTATACATATATACTCCACGACGTACACATAACTTATAATCGAGACTTCCTTTACAGTTTATTTTTATTTTTATTCGATAGCATTAATTCACTTTGTTGAGTTTGGGATTCCACTTAATAAAAAAGCGTATTAGTTAAGCAACCATATGATGCACGAACTCAGCCTTGAAATCAACCTCGTTCCCTTGAAATGCACTTCAAATTAGGAACTGCATATCAGATGCATAATATTACAAAAATCAAATTAATTAAATACACAATTAGAACACAAATAATTTTATTCTTTGATTCGCTTAGTCTTTATACCACGCGATACCCTATCGGCATCTGCCCATGTTTCAATCGGCAATTTTCAAGATTGCAGTTTGCAGTTATAATATCTTGTCGAATAGTAGTGCAAATAAAGAAACTGGAAAACATTGCGGGGAAGGGCGGGTGGGGGGGGGGGCGCCGCAAGCGAATACAGGCTACTGATATAAGGGTAAAATTGCAAGGTTTTGGATTAAGAAAGTTTAAGAGTATGAACGTAAGCTACGTATGACACGTGCAATATATATATGGATGCCGAATGTTCAACACTCTTTAATTTTAAGGCGGCCAACACAAAAAGACGATGACCGACAGTTATTTGAAAGTAATAAAAATGATTGGCCGTTTCGATTGAATGCCTTTAAAGAATCGGACTTAGCATAAGTAAACAAAGTCCAAGGGTCTTTCGGACTAAGCCAAATCGGACTCTTATTAAATTGAGAAACGGACTTGATCCAAATCCATGTGTAGCATTTTTAACCATTTTATAGAAGACACTTCTTCTAATGAGTATATACTCTACGAATAAAAACTCAAAACTATATTGCATGGTCAGGAGTGTTCTTGTTTGCATTAAAGCATGCTGTTCATTTTGTTATTTTAAAATATTCTTAGCTGTGTATCTCATTATTGTATATGACCGATTCATAAACTGCCGGTTGCCAAGCCCTCGCGCACTGTGTGAAGTTTACGAGTGTCTATTTTAATGCAAGACTTGCTTCTCTGACTTCTCTTGTGGCCGTTTAATTATAAGCACTCTGACCCCCTGTTATCGAGTATTGTATATTACGTAGTTATCCCGCATTTACTTTTCTAATACCAATAAAGATAGGGCTTGTAGCTGTTGAATGCTACCTTTCTTGTATCATTAACATTGGGATCGAAAATAGCCAAATCGAATTTAAAAATGTCGGTCGAAAATTGGAAGAACAGTAAATTCCTAAGGACGAGGGTGAAAAAGCGGCTGAGCACCCCTGCACGTGAAAACTGTGACAAGTGGTGAAGCCCCCCCTTCTCAGTTTAAATTCATATAAGAAATTATATATTTCATTGACCATATGTTGGCAATTTTGTTCACTTTGCTTGTCGGGCAGTGACCAAGAATCTTCACATTGCTATTTTACTCTGATTTTTTTTGGGAGGACTATAGCTTAGCAAAAACGGCTGGATTATGCGGTAGATTTGAAGATGTATGATGCACAGTCCAATACTTTCGTCTCACTAGCAACTAAAAATTACATTAAATACCTCGGTGTTCTCATGGACTCAAATCTTTCATGGAAATTTCATATTGGGTACATCGCCTCTAATCTTAGGAAACGAATTGGCATAATTGCTAGGCTGCGTCATTTTGTACTCTAATAAGTATCTATAAGTCCCTTATGCTGCCTTACCTAACTTATGGTATCGTTGTATGGGGATGTGCTGCCAAATGCTATACATTGATAAAATCCTTAAACTCCAAAAACGCGCTCTTCGTTTAATATATTCTTTCTCATGCCATTCCTTATTTTCAGTCAGCCAATGTTCTGCCAATAAATTTGCTTTATTACAAATCAGTATCAATACTAATGCATGACGTATCAGGAACGGTAGTACCCCCAAATATTTTGGCTTTGTTTACCCCATTAAGTCAGGTACACGAACACAACACCAGATCTTCCACTAGGAAGAACTTCCACGTTGAATATTCAGATTTAGACGTGCAAAGCAAATCATTTTCAAGAATGGGAGGTAGAATTTGGAATAGCATTCCTACAGAACTACGTGAAAAACCAAAGAATCACTTTAAAAAAGTTTTACGTAGAAAGTTACTTCAAATATTAGAAAAGAAAGACGCTTATATTGATATTCTAACAATACAAAAAGAAATCGCAATAATCTAAAAGTTAAATTATTTTACGATTTTGGACTGATTTAAGTCTGATCATTCGTTAGCGATTATGTTTGTATATATGGTGAATGTATTTCTATCGTATGCCTTTTGGTGATGAATAGTGCTTGTATTTACTAAATGAATTTTGCGGAAACTTCTTTAATTCCGAATGTGTGTAGTTGCTGTCCACCACGATTAGCTTTTGCTATTTGTGGACAGCAAGATTTTTATTGATTTTGTAAATTAGTTTGACATAATAAATTGAATTGAATTGAATTAGCCCCACGTTTACTTCTGAGGGTTACTATATAGACCCCTAGCCCCCTCCCCAATTCTGCCGCCCCTGTATAGTGGATTTACATATAAAAACGCGTGAGAGCGAATAAAACGAATTGGCGAATAAAACGAATTGGGGAGCGAGTTGACTTGTCGCACTTGCAGGAAATTGCGCGGAACATTGCTTGTGGCGCGGAACATTGCATGACAGCATACCAATTCTAAATTACACAATTATTATTGCTGCGGAGCGAGCGAGCCTGAAGCGAGCGAGCGTAACAGTTGCCTAATATGTGCAGAGAGGGGGTTTTGAACTACATTTTATTTAGCGCATGGAATTGTGGTCGTGCGCGCTTTCTATGCGCATGCAGAACACAAATTTTAAACTCGCTCGAGTCTTCGAATTTTTATCGAATTTCTAAAGCTTTTTTCAAGTGTAATGTTACGCTTACATTTGTTTTGGACTTTGGCCACTGTCAGTTCTATATTTTTATAACGTTCTGGTTTCTTAGTGTGATAAATCTGTGTATATAGCAGTGTTGTAACGAGTCGAGTCATTGACTCTGACTCCAGTCAACTCGAGTCGCTATTTTCAGCGACTCGACTCGAGTCCAATACGAAAAATGACTCGACTCGACTCGAGCCAACAGCCCCAAATGACTCGACTCGGACTCGACTTGCTGATTTTTCCGTAAATGACTCGAGTCAACTCATCTACAACTTGTACAGAGTAAATTCATCACAATTATTGTGATTGTATTGCTTGGGAAGAACAATGAGCCCTGTAAACAATGAGAACTTTGAAACTTTATCAGAAAATATATGGGATTTGCATAGAATATATTCCTGACGGGCATACCTATATTACATTTCTGTTTTTAGAAACAGCGCTAGTGCCACAGTTTTTAAAATTGAGTCTCAAAATTTTTTGTACTTACACTAATTCTGACAGGCTATTTTCATTTTTGGTATTTATGAAGGGCTATATAATTTCAAATTAACTTACAAAGCGTTGTTAATTAAAGTCTATTCTTTGTTAATTCTGACTCCAGTTGCAAGTTTTGCTAGTTGTATGTACGTACACTCGATCAGCAGGTATGATGAGACATCTCACGTGGTTGACTGGAACTGTGATATTGGCACAGCCTATAGCTGCCAAGATACTGTTATTAATTTAAATGACTAAAGTAATTAGTTTAAAACGCAAATTTGATTACTAATTTCCGACAGCAAGCTAGGGTAGCTCAAGTAAAGTCTAGAAATTGACTCGACTCGACTTAAATCAGTGACTCGACTTGACTCGAGTGAAGCCACTGACTCGACTCGACTCGATCAAAAACTGAAATGACTCGACTCGTGACTCGACCTTTGAGTGACTCGACTCGTGACTCGACCTGTAGGTGACTCGTTACAACACTGGTATATAGTCTATATAATGTGGTGTAAATGCGCCTTGCAGTAAACAGACTTGATATGAAATCTGATCTTAATTTATCTGTATGTCAATGAGACGCACATTTTAATCTCTGTCACCTCTGATTGCCCTTTAACCCTTGGTCTTTGTAACTTCAATATATATATATTGCTTCTTCTCAGTTCCATTCACAGCTCACTAGTCGCTGCGAGTAATCACTGTGCTTGATATAATTTGTGCTGTTTACTGTAGTTCTATTTGCTTTTAATGCCCGCAGCAATCCCTACCTTGCAGGTACCCTAGTAATACCTATATACAACGCATAAATAAACACGGAAAACCAATCGATGATAATTAATTGTGATTATAGCTATAGTGAGAAGGTAAAATATTTGTTGATTTCGGCGATTTCTTTTGCAGTTATACCAAATTGTACGGTTGCAATGTGTAGCAACGGGTGAGAAGTAACCAAGCAATAATGCGTCACACAATTATATTTGCTTGCAAAATATAATTTGGAGACCATGCATTCAATTCGAAGACATTAATTATCAAAACAATAGCCTATACACGAGCTGAAGGAAACGGTGCTGCACGTATACTAATTAAGAGTTTATCTATTGGTCGAGTGTCGAGGGTTAAATGTCGAGGGTGAGGGTAGTTGAGGTTAAGGGTATAAAATGTCGACTGCTAAATGTTGAGGATAACATGTCAAGAGTTAAATATCGACTATTATACATGTCGAGTATAAAATATCGAGGGTGAAAATATCACAAAAAATACTATATATAGGCTACAGTACTATACAGGGTGTATAAAAAAAACTGAACAGATTTGAAATTGCTCTCAATTTCGCAAAACACCTATTTGTATCCGGTTTTTTATATATATAGCTTCTTTGGGTACTTATAATGTAGAATAATGAAAAAAATTTCTCGAACTCAAATTTTGTGAACCAGGGGTGTGTGTCTTTTCCAACAAATTAAAAATGGCTCGCGCACAAAATTTAAAAGCTGTAATCATATTTTGAGTTAATAGATGGAAACTTTGTCGGGTTTTTAATTACTGTACAAAATTTCAGACAATTTGGTTTAGTTTAAGCCCTTTAACTGTTCATTTTATTCTAAAAAATCAGCCTTTCGCATGCTTAATTAATGCCTTTACCTAATTTGCATATTGCTGACATATGCAAATTAGGCAAATGCATTAATTAAGCATGCAAATGGCTGATTTTTAGGAAAAATGTAACTTTGCGTGAATAGTTAAGGGGCTTAAACGAAACCAAATTGTCTGAAATTTTGTACAGTAATTAAAAACCCGACAAATTTTCCATCTATTAACTCAAAATATGATTGCAGCTTTTAAATTTTGTGCGCGAGCCATTTTTAGTTTGTTGGAAAAGACACCCCCCCTGGTTCACAAAATTTGAGTTCGAGAAATTTTTTTCATTATTCTACATTATAGATACCCAACGAAGCTATATGTATAAAAAACGGATACAAATAGGTGTTTTGCGAAATTGAGAGCAATTTCAAATCTGTTCAGTTTTTTTTTATACACCCTGAATATATATCATAGATATCTTACTACATTATATAGCGCATCTCTATTAGTAAAATTGAAGCCAAGAATATTCCAGCGGTTACCCCCATTTGAATAGATGGCGGCCATGTTGGTCGTTCCCACTCGCTAATAAACGCTTAAAATAACAATAACTTTCATCATTTGAATAGTTTAAAAATGTATTTGGAATGGGTTTTACTTAATGTTTAAGTTTCCTGTTTAAGAAATAGGAAATATACGAATCTTCTCATTTCATGGGAACGACTGCAATCACGGCTTCAATTTTTGAATTGCAGAATAACTAGATGCGCTATCTAGTGTATATAAGATATTTATGATATATATATACATTGATCCAAATAAATTTGTTAAATTAAAAAATCGACTCGACATCAGCACGATCTGCGCGTGCGCGACTCGACATCAGCACGATTTGCGCGACACGAAATGCGTGGGTTAACTTACCAACTTTGTTGATAATAAAATTTTCTCAATCAGTCAAACTGTTTATATTCGTTCGAAATGCTGTATAATGGAGGCTGAAAATTCTGGGGCTTTTTGTCACTCTTGGCTAGTTTTTTTTTATGTTTTGGGGCTTTGATAACACAGTGATCAGTGCCTTTTTACAGTGTTTGACAAACAGTTGCATCAGATCGTCGTACGATAATCCGCCGCCGGCAATCTTTTCTGTCATATGCTTTTGGTTATTGGTGCCTGATCGGAACTGACTTCGAACTGATAACCTGCTCGGGCAGATTGATCGGTGAGGAAAACTAAATTCTTCGAAGCGCCATCACATCCTCCTTGGCATCGTGTGTAGCAAATTTCTTGTTGAATAAACTCTCGTAGATCGACGACTGGTTTGACGAACATCTTCGACCATTTGATTGGGTTAACGCTGGATGTTGATCTTATCAGGTGCTCAAGCAATGGAAGACTGTTGCCAAAACAAATCCCTAAATCTTGCATTTCGTCGTGAATTTCACTGGCACTGTTACGAAGCAATATCGGGATGTCAAACGCCTTGCATTATGGCCGATTACAACTGTACGTACACCTTAGTGTTCGTCCGGCCTTGCTGGATTCGATGCAGCTGTGAATATAGTTGACAAATCGAGAAGTTGCGTTGACAGCTAAGTGTTTTTAAAGCTACATAATATTTAAAAAGTGTTCGTTTGCCATCAACTGATTTTACTGTCAGTTTATTTACCCGTGTGGCATATTTGTCGATGTCTTTGTCAAGCAAAATATACTCGTAAAAACACTTTTGGACGGTCTTATCAACAGCTGATAGCTGGCACAACTGGGCAGCTTTACCTGTTGTGTTTGTCTCGACATCAAACACAATAATATTCTACTCTAAGTTACTGTCAAATTCATTATTCGGACAAATTGGCTTTGGGGTGAATGAGGAGATTGTTCGTTCATAAACAGTTATTGTTTCCTTTGGTACATTTCCCTTGATTAACTGAAGTAGCCCTGTGATCGATTCACTTCCAGTTATAGTAGCCCCAGACTCTGTTCCAAGTTCATACAGTACCAATACCTGATTTATAGGCTGGGCCTAATTCTTGTTTTTCTTCTTTCGCAGTGCCTTGGATTCTTCGGCTATGAAGTTGATTTCTGCGCTGCTTGAATAAAATTGAGTTTTTTCTGTCGATATCTTTACTTTTCTTTTTCTCCACTTTGCAGGTGTATTTGATACAGTTCAATCCAGGATCTATTCCTAATTCTTTGAGTGTACAACAAACATAACCGTAACCAACTTACATCCAGACTTGCCAGACTTATTAGATGCTGAGGTATTACTTATTTTGGAACAGAACTGGCAATTTAGTCTGAACTGACTTGCTAAACCATATTGTTTTTTCATCAATAATGTTGGCCAAGAATATTGGACCTAAATTTTAGAATTTTAAATTGTCTAGTATATGTAGAGGTATATGAATAAGTTTGTTCTCTACTACACTAGTATCAGGAAATTATATTTGATATTTTTACACAGTGTAGGCTATAAGATTGAATATGTTTTATGATGTTCTGTTGCTGTTTATACTGTAGTCAGTAGCATTTGTAGTTAGAATTTCGATTTGCTTTGCATAAGAGAGTGTTCAGATATTTTTTGTAGTAGCTTGGCCAAGAAAAACAAACAAAATCAAGTAAAATATATATTTGTTTTGTAAAAAATCAAGTGAAATATTTATTTATTTGTTGTGCTTGTACAAGCTGCTACTATTTTGATTTGTTTTGCATAAGAGTGTTTAGGTATTTTTCGTTAGTAGCTTGGGCGAGAATAACAAACAAAATCAAGTGAAATACTGTGTTAAATTTGTAAAAATATAGACTAAAAGGTGTGATAAAAAATTGTCAAACCGCGCAGCTACCTTTTAGACAAAATTGACAATTAATTCTGAAAGCTTGTCTTTCAAAACATCAATATCGATGATTTTCATTCCATGTGGCATATTTTCCTCTATTTTCCGTTGTTGCTATCAAGAGCAACCATTTTACTAGCCTGCGAACAGGCTCTCAACTGAATTGAGAGCCTGCATCGATGACGAATGAATTTGAATATCTGCTCCGTAACGTTCGTTTTTCCAAATATGGAAGTTCTGTCCTTATATGGTGTTGTTTACAACTTTCGTGCAAACTAAATTTAGACCGTGCAAACTAAATTTAGACCGTACAGTTTATACTGTTTATCGAAATATAAGATATTCAAGCAAAAATTCAAATGTTTTAAATACTGTTTTCTCAAATCAGATTATTTCGTGCTTTGAGATGAGATGGCTAAAACCAATTTGACCATTTAATGTGTTTTTATGCATAGTGCTTCAGCAGTTGACATATATAGAGCTCAGCGGAAACATATAAATTATAGCATCTGACCAATGAGAATTTCGCGTCACGATTTGAGACGCAGATATTCAAATTCATTCGTCATCGATGCAGGCTCTCAATTCAGCTTGAGAGCCTGTTCGCAGGCTACCATTTTACTTGTAAGTTTAGCAAAAATTCTATCGAAATGCAGCGAAATTATTGAATATGAAATTTTTTTCTTGTACATACCGTCACCGTTCGCGTATTTACGAGCTTCGGAACTTTCAAACTCTACTCTTGCTGTTTTTCGCCATGAATTTATTGCCTTTAGTAGCCTTTCCTTGGTGTGGGAAGTATTTATTTGTGAAACTTTGCCAAACTTGCCGTTTGAAAGCCGATTATTAAACCGCGAGGCCATGTTTGTTTAGAAATTGCTCTTTAACTTGACATTTAAATTACCCGCATGTTTCCCGCACGCGCGAAATTTTCCTGCATCCACGAATTTTCCACGCAAACAAGAACCGGCATTTTCGTTACCAGCCCATGCTTAACTAACTATAGGGAGCCACCTTAATAAAAACTGTTACCCGCGGCTTTTGATCCTCATATAACCAATCATAGCGATCAAGACAAGGTCGTACCCAGGGTCTTTTCTCTTGTGGAGAAAAGACCCTGGTAGACGCTGGTCACGTGATCTGCTAAAATCTAGCGGATTTCTAAATCTTTGTTTCCTTTACGAAAATCATACAAAATGCACATTATAAATTAAACTAGAAAAATCATCCCAATATCAAATATTTATTAACCGCATCTAGGCTAATTAAAAATCTGCCAGATGTTAGCATATCACGTGACCAGCGTCTACCAGGGTCTCGTCTCCCTCGCCAAGAGGAAAGACCCTGGGTACGAACAAGGTTGCGTCAAGATTGTTCATAATTATCGTCATTCTAGCATCAATTTTGTGTATATCATTCTCATTCATGTATCTTTGTGTACAACCAAAGTAACTCCAGAAGAAAGGCTTAGCTCGAAACGTCGAAATTCTCCTTATATTTTTCACGACAGGTAGTTGCATCCCTACCAATGAAAACTTGTTCATACTTTGATACGTACACAACTTTATATTCATGAAATGTTATATCATCAATAATTATATTTGCAAAAGGAAACCACTTTTGTGTTTACGTAGGTAATGTGTGCATGCTACCCGCTGTTGGCAATTGTTAAGGAAAATGATTACTAAAATTCTGGCATAAATTTAATTATCTTTTGTGAATTTAAGTAGTGTTCAGAATTTGTCTATATATTTCAACACCGAAATCTTGGACCTTTTGGACAACCTGGGTTGATTTAACAACGTTGTAACGTTAGCAAGTATGTAATACCTCTTTTGACGATTTTGTTTCTGTAACTTGTACGTCGAGCAAGAGACGTTCACTGTTTTCAGAATTTTCTTACAATGATAATTTCAACAATGCGGACGCAACAGTAAATACATTGTCATTGAATGTATTTCGGCAGTAAATACTCTTAATATATTTCGGCCATATTTTATTAAGCTTGTGATTTAATTACTTTACTGATTATATATCTATAATCTCTGTATACAATTCTAATATACATATATCTTCGTGTACAGTTAATAAAAGTTATATTATTGGATGAGATGTTTAATTAAGAATTATGATTTCGAGCCAAACGTGAGGCAGACAGCACATGACAAAACTCGGATAATTCCGTACGACCGTACTACATCATAACTGCTTTATTACACAATATTTCATTCTTATTATACACTTTCAATAAATAATGCTTTGCCATACAAAACAACGTTTAGTTGTCAAAAGAGCAGTGACAAAGATTTACAATATCTCATCACAACGTATATATACCATAAAAGGCATTTAGATATTTTCTGCATACCTCCACAAATTATGCCACGTATAGTGCATAAATTATACGATGGCTAAGTACGCATTCAGTTAGCCTGTATTCTAGTCCACTACACCGTTGTGTACACAACGGTGCGGTGGACTGGACACAGGTTACCATTCACTTTGCTCTTCGCAAGAAAGCAAGACACTGAAGACAGACGTTTGCAAATTATTCTTTCAATTTTCACCAAATTGAAAAACAATTAAGTATATAGAATATTTTTAGCAGACTGACAAATTTTTGTATTAATACGTAGTTTTGATATTTTTGAGTTATTGTGACAAGAGGGAAACACACATACACACAGCTAAATCTGGAATGGTCTCAAGGGTTTTGTCCGAGATTGTAGCTATAACATGCATACATCTGACTCAACCTACAGATATAACAGTATTCTCGGTTAGCAGATATTATAGGGCCATTTATACGAGCGAAAATAAGCCGCGGCCTAAATAGGCCGCGGCTTAAATAAGTCGCGAACGACTCGTATGAATAGTCAATTTGCAATAAGCCGGGGCTCATTTAGGCCTAGGTTTCAAGCGTGGGTTTATTTTAGCCGCGGCTTGCGAACAAATTGACTGTTTATACGAGTCGTTCGCGACTTATTTAAGCCGCGGCCTAGTAGAACCAGAAGGGACACTCCTTTGATGTTAGGCGGTCGCGCCGACATAGGCCTGCATACACCCGCTAGAGAGCGGCGGCCATGTTCTTAGGTAGTATCACTGAGCTATACTATATTACTGGAGGACCTGTTCGGGATAAAAGTGTCCGCAAAAACATGGCGGATCTTACGTCATTTCCATGACAACACTTACTTTATTTTAATGGTAATTGCCACTGACCAACCGCGATCCTAACTTTCGAAGATCTCCTTAACCCCCCTGGTTTTGCACAGATATATTAAGATATTTCAAGTTTTCTGTTGTTTTTGAGCAAAAATCTTAATATTTCCCTCGCACATTACTTGTTTTACAACGCCGGTTTGCTTCGCTTGTGGATGCAGCACTTTATTACAAAGAAACTAAAAAGAAAGACTAATTCTTTCAGGTAAGATTCACAAAACTTTTTTGTATTAAACTTTCTAGACGACTAGCTAGTCTGAGACTCTGAGTCACTTAGTTATTTCGACGTTTCGACTAAACTATAGTCATCATCAGGAAATGAATCAATTAATATATACAGCAAATATTTCAATAGCCGGAATAGGGGACATAAAAATATTGTTAATGATTAAATATTGTGTACTACATGAAATTATGTTGTTTTCAGTGTCAGCACTGGCTTTTGTGGTTTTATTGCCAGACTGCCAGTTTTTAATTACTTGTATAAATTGTGGTTGTTTAGGGAACGATCGTTTATTACGTCTCAGGGGGGCGGTGTTTTTTTTAAAACATCAATAAAATATGCACCCCCATATATTTTTTGGAAATGAAAAAATTACCCCCTGTTTAACTATATAGATTAAAAATATACCCCTCCCCCAATCGTACTAGGCATTTCTAGGCATCAAACCTCAGTACATAGTCAAACATTCGAATTACTAGGCCTCGTAATAGAAAATCTGGGCACTACTTTAGCCCATTGAACTATAAATAAACTGCCATGATGAAGGCCTATGATTTGATGAAGCCAAAATAGTTTTTCTGAGTTATGAGCAGAAATACTTTATTCCAAACGTTGGGCTATATATAAAACTGAAGCTATTGAAAATTGCTATTCGGTGTGGAAATTTCAAGACTTCAGCGAAAAGAAAAATATTTAAAAAATACAAAAACAACTGCAAAATGGTAAATTATCAGCAATTATTTTTGTAGTTTTTCAAGATTTCCCTTTTAGCTAAAGTCTTGAAATTTCTACACCAAATAGCGTTTTTCAATGGCTTCAATTTGATATACAGTTCAACGTTCAGTGCAAGGTCTTATCTAGAGGGCCATGTTCCAAAAATGGAAAAGCACGGCTAGATAAGATGAACGCGGCTTCATTATTTATATAAGGCTGTGTACAGTGTAGGTTTGTAAAATAAAGTGTTACTGCTTACAACAAAGACAATTTCTTCCTATTTACGTCGTAAGAAAGTTTGTAAAATCTACTGTACAGTAGATATTGAAATTGGCAAAACTGATCCGTGATGTTTTATTAGATAGCTTAAAGATCTTCGACGTCGACGTCAGCTAGGACGTCAGGGCTATGCAGAGGACTGGGACTAGGATGTCGTCCTAATGTAGTCCCAGTCCTCTGCTTAGCCCTGACGTCTTAGCTGGCGTCGACGTCGTAGATCTTAAGCTATCTAATGTTTTGATGGAAACGGTGTTACTGTAAAATGGTTTTAAATACCCCCAGTTGTATTTTAATGTCAGTGCGCAATATGAGCGTATGCTCGCCTTGTATTTGGTTCCAAAGCATAGAACAACCACAGGCATTGTCTGTTGTTGGCTAACATAACTAGAACCGTGAATTTCGCAGTTTAAGGTAATTGACATGTGCACACCTTGGTCATTTAGAAACACACCCAAGATATAAAATCCTAGCTAAGACCTTGGTTTAGTGTTGAGTATTTCTGCTCATAACTCAGAAAAACTAAAATGCACTGGCTTCAATTCTCCCCCCCCCCCTGAGTTAGCCAGCCCTGTTTGACAAGATGGCTGCCGCTAAATTAGTATTCCGTTCAGCGGAGTCACCACTGAGAGTCACTAAGAACCATTGAACTAAACTTTGAACTAAGAGTTCAATGCTAAGAACTAGATTCCAGTCTTCCTATGCAAAATTGCACACAATGGCGCAATCTTACTGATTAGTTTGTATTTGTCTTTCTTTTTCAAATTCAAATTAAATGGTAGATATATTTTGAATATCTCATAAAGTCATTATAATATGTAAGAATTGCTTGCAATTTCAAAATTTACCCCCCATCCTTTTCCTTTGGGAACTGAAAACTACTCCCCCTAAAATAGCCATATTTAAAAAATTAACCCCCTCATAAACCACCGCCCTCCCTGAGAGACGTAATAAACGATCGATCGGTCCCTTACATGTTCATAAAGGTTTAATATGGTGTGAAATTTATATACTTGCCCTTCATAACACAGAATTAATATATATATATATATATATATATATATATATATATATATATATATATATATATATATATATATATATATATATATATATATATATATATAGATAAGCACAAGACCAGAGATACTTGAGTAGAGGAGGCCCACCTGCATGTGACGATGTGCCCTGTCCTGATGAGCCCTATATAAAAGACTGTCTTTATTGTTTTACTCTGTCTGTCTAATGCCAAATGATTTTAAGAGGAGACTGCTCACTGCTGCCTCGCAGTGGGTTAATTTAATACACTATCTGCCAATGAGCAGCTTTCAGCCCATTAAGCTGCAATATACCCAAATGAACCCTAGCTACTTTCTTACTGGGACTGCAGAACAGGGGAGGCATGCTCCCCACTTTTTCGGTGGATAATAAAAATTACCAGATAAAATCTGGACAGCCTGCCTGTGTGGAATAGCTCCCATGCTATCATGCCCCCCCCCCCACCCCACCTTTTAAACAAGCTCCCTGTTTTATTTTACTCTATCTGTGAGACTAAATCCAGATGTCTTACTCATCAAGGGAAGAGTCTTAAAAAATATATAACATTTTACCATTGTCTGTTCAGAACTATATAAAACTATATGATGTCATAGTTGGAAGTGGTGATGTCCAATTGCTTTGTGAGAAATTATGACAACATTTGCTAATAATAGTTTGACATATTAATTTTTAGCAGTTAGTTGGGAATGTAATTGCATTGCTGAATATGAAAACACGACACTTAATTTATAAGCTCGGATCAATGGACTAGTAAAATTGTCTGACATAATACAGTAAGGCAAAAATAATACAGTGAGGCACATCAAAACACATTGCCACCTGAAG